TATATATACTCGCACTTAGGCTAAACATCATTGACATGTAAATGTCTATGAGATGCAGCTAGTCTGGTATATCATTTAATTGTATGGCTCTAAATAAATATAACATTTATACCTTTCATCTCCATAGGCCCAAACCGCACCCAGCAGTCGTGTGGCTATTGTGAGTACATGCCGGAGTGCCCAGCTGTTACGACACACATTGGTGTCATGCTTCACAGACACTGTTCATCTAGCTGTACCTGAAGTTGTCTACATGCAAGGGAAAACTGTGGATACAAAAGGTGAAGGATATGACTTTTTGACCGTTCGATATATATTAGTTGGCGGGGCAGATGTGTCTGGTGTTACATGCTACCTAGATTTAAGAAGCCGATAAACGTGATTATGCCGTCCTCGAGAAGATGCAGGACGCATTTTAACAATGTACGCAACATGAATGCTTCATGAACATTTCACAACATACTTTCCAATTAATTACAACAGCCCGTACTCGATACAACTATTTACAGCTGAATTTTAGTAGAATATATGCTCTACGGATACCTCTCACATTCACTACACTAGTGTTTAGTTCATGAAATATGTAAATCAGAACACGTATGGTTACCATATGAGCTGAATGGGATTAATTTATTGTATGTCTCAGATGCAACGAAGGGTCTCCTATCGTCGATGTTTCCACAGATTTACGATAAAAACAAAGATGCGATGAACGTCCTGGCGAATAAAATGTCCGACGCTGAGCTGATGTCCGTCCACAGGGTATACAAAAGTCTAGGTGTGTCAAAGTATCTGCACATACACATTGTAGTCGTGTCAACAGCTCAATTGGATTGGACATTACACTCTCACTCACTCACTTATTCACTCACTCATATATATATATATATATATATATACGTATGCACGTATACTATATATATACGTATGCACGTATACACGTACGTATTATTATAAGTTGATGATAATGCCTGTTATCGTATTCCAATTTCCTTGCCAGTTCTTTATATCATACTGGCTAACCCACACAAAAAGCACACGCGCAAACTTTTTTACAATCCAATGATTGAGTTTACGTCAAGTACTAGTGCGGTCAGTGGGAATCAGATATCCACGCCACTGTGCAGCTATAAACAGTCTTGCTCATTGCATCTCTTGACTTCTTGTCCAGTTGCGATCGAGCCCAAATCAAGTGGCAATTCAGTCAATGACACTCAAATACCTACACTGCTGACACAGGCCTTCGAGCGAGTGCGGCAGCCCCAAGCATCGGTAGGATATACACAGTGCATCCGGTTTATGTCACGATGCTTGCATAGGATGATAGTAGATAAGCATACTTCAGCCGAATTTATATGCATGTGTATTGAAAGCAAGGCAATACAGCCGAGATCTAACCTCCGCGTATACGCATACACATAGGAGTAGTAGCCCACTAATAGATGAAGTTAATGAAGCTTATGCTATTGGTATGTTTGTTGTCTGTCGCAGGCATCGGTTGAACGGGTGACATGGGATGACATCAGTGGCTTGCAGGAGGTCAAGACGATACTGGAGGAGGCAGTCCTATCCATTTTCAAGTAGGTTGTACGGTTGTGCATACGTGTTCAAGTAGTAAATCTATGTAAACCCCCGTGCTGAGTTTATTTGAGTTCTTAGCACCGTGACTTTTATATGCTCATAGACGTATATCAGGGTATTTGTCAACAAACATGCGATTGTACATGGATAGGTATCTTGTGTATTCCTTCATCCACTGGCTATTACTTTTTCTGGTGCTAACATATACGTACGCTGTGTGCTCAACACATGTATGCAAGTGCCGTACCACAGTATATACACTCATATATATATATATATATATATATATATATATTATATATATATATATATATATATATATATATATATATATATTATATATTATATATATATATATATATATATATATA